GTATGTATGTATGTATGTATGTATGTATGTAGAAGTTGGTTCATGTCTGCGGGCCTGCTGTGAAGTTGACGCTCTCCTGGGGAGGGAGGGAGGCGCACTCAGACTTGTCGGGCGCTTGCCTCTTATACGGCTTTTTCTTTTTTTAAGGAGTTTATGGGGCTTATGGGGTTTATAGGGTTTATAGGGTTCATAGGGTTTATAGGGTTTGTAGGGGGGGGGGTTATAGGGTTGCTAATTACGGTTTGTAGCGCTTGCCTAGGGAACATTTTGAACAAACGAGGGGTTCTGGAAGGACTACTTTCAGGGTATGGGGTTCGCGGCGTCAATAAATGCCATTGCACACGAAAGGCACGGCCGAACCGAGAACAATCTTCTTCCCACAGGACACGGGGAAGATAGAGTATAAGAGGTTCGGGTTGTGGTTTCAGTGTTTCGGGGCCAAGTCAGAACCTAGTTTGAGTAGTTGAAGATCAGGGATTATGTGCCCCATGCTCCTGCCCAGAGTCCTTGCGTAACCTACCTTTCGATAAATCCTTTGGCTTAACCGGTGTAGCACAAGTTAGGCGCTCTGGGTACACAACCTCGTATCTCCATGGACCATATGCCTTTGTAGGACCTGTGCTTCGGAGGGGGCGACGTACTTCGTCACAAGGGAGAGATCTACCTACCTCAACCCCAAAACCCTAAACCCCCCAAACCCGACCCTCAGCCCTCAACCCTCAACCCTCAATCCCAACTCCCAAAATGCCCCAAGGAACAAAGCTAAGCAGGAAACCTCCTACCAAGAGGGGCTTGCTAAGCCCCACAAGCCTGGAGATTTCCTAAAATCCTGAACGAATGAATACATTCATGAATATGCACACATACAGAGAGAGAGACAGACAGAGAGAGAGAGAGAGAGCGCGAGAGCGAGATAAAGACAGAGAGAGAGAGAGAGAGTGAGAGCGAGAGAGATAGAGAGCCCCTAAACCCTCATCCTAAGATCTAAGCCATCCGCACTAGACCCCGAAAGCCATCATGACGCGCGAGGACATTTCAGAGCGCCCAGAGCAGCGAGGAAAGTGATCCCGACGACTCCTACAGCGATGAGGACATGGTAGGGTTTGGGTCTGAACCCCCCCCCACCGACCCGCCAACTTCGAAAAGTTTAGGGTGTGGGTTAGGGGTGTTAACGTGTGTAGGATGTTTTTGGTGTTTATGGCTGCGGGTTAGGACTGTTTCTTGTGCCGCCTGAGCTCTAGGATTGCAAATTTGGCTGCCCTATTCCATCTTTGTGGACAGCCCTGACGCTAGCCCTAAACCCTAAACCCTACACCCTAAACCCTAAACCCTAAGCCCTCCTACACCCCAAACCCTAAACCCTAAAACCTGTCGAGCTCGGGTCCCCCTAAGCCATGGCTCTGCAAGGACGCAGAGAAGACCATGGTCCGTGAGTTCCCACAAAGGTGAGCAAGCACTCTGATGGTCTTCGGGTTTAGGGTTTAGGGTTTAGGGTTTAGGGTTTAGGGTTTAGGGTTTAGGTTCAGGGCTTATAGGGCTTAGTGAGTTTTCAGGATTTAGGTGCCTGAGGCCCTCTACCTGTGGCCTCGCATGTCCTTATTGTAGCAACCCTAAGCCCCACCGGTGCCCCACGTTGCCCCTTCTGAGTGCTGGGGCTCCTTGTAATGTAGCCGAACCCACACAAAAAGATGCACTTTTGTATGGGTTTAGGGTTGAGGGTTTAGGGTTTAGGGTTTAGGGTTTAGGGTTTAGGTTTGAGTTCTTGAAGTTAACTCTATGTAGCCTAGGGTTTGGAGTTTAGGCATAAACTTCCGCCCATACAACCTCTACTCCTCACTGCCTCGCGAAAATTGGGACGTGCATGGGTGGCGGCTGACATAGACTGAGCATCTCCGGAATATCCCTGAACTTTGCGTTGGTTCTGTCTACCAGGGACCACAGCATATGTAGTGTGCTGGGCTCGAAGAATAGTCCTACCTTGCCAGAGTTCTTTAACGGCACACAGGCTGCACTGGGTAGGGTTTAGCTTTCCGGCCCACTGCGGATGCTCTGATAGGCGTGTTCGTGTTTGGGATTTCGGTTCGGAAGCGTAGATCTCGTTGTGCAGCATGTTTCCTGGCTCATGCAGAGCGCGCCGCATGCTTCTCGAGAAGCACTATGAATTCATACACGGCTCTGGCCCTTCTCCAGGCAGAGAAAAAACCGAAGCAACCGTAGCTTAAATAGAACTGAGCGAACAGTTGAAATGGTGTCATGTGGGGGTTTCCGAAAATAGGGGTACTTTATTGGGGTCCTCTGTTCTAAAGGGTTCCTACTTCTTGGGGGACTATATTAGGAGTCCCTGATTTTCGTACAAACCCATATCTCCTCGACGAGTACTACCTGTGAGTCCGTGGACCACAGGTCCATTTTCTCATACAAGATATGCGGCGTTTAGGGTTTATGTCGGGTTTATCGCCTGGGGTTGACCAGTAAGGGGTGCTAGAATGTGTTGGTGCTGGGCCTTGAATAGAGTCGCGGCCGGGGGTTAGAGGTGCCATACCCGAAACTCGTACTAGACCCGATATTGTAGAAGGTTTTCATGTGGGAACCCACAGGACAGGTTCTGTTTTGACGGATGATCTTACATCATGTTGCTGCTTGGGGCTTCGATCTTGGCCTTTCGAGCGAGCGGGCCCGGTTTGAGCGGCTATCACCCTGCTGTATAGCCCTCTGCTGCTGCAAGCGCAGCCCTCATGCAACACACGTTCCTCCCGAATGGTCCCTTTCTGACCCTAAATCAAAAAAACCCGAGGCCCACATGGCCCTAACTATGTTCAGGCTCGGGGCCGCAAAACAACGAGGACCAGTCACCTTAATTCTGGGCACAAGGGGGCATAAGGGAGGTATAAGGTATAAAGAGGGGGTCTAAGGAGGGTGTAAGAACTTACCTAGCCAATTGTTTAGCTTTGAACTTGTATGGTTTTCTAGAGTAAACTGCACACGCCCTCACCCTGCACCCTAATCCCTTCAGCAGAACCGGCCATATCTCAATGAACCCAGGCCCGAACCTGAAAGCAAATGACTGTGCCACAGCCGGCCTCGACCCTCTAAGTGCCTCAGGGATTTGACAGGGCTTATAGGGTATAGTAGTAGGGTCTAAACCCTAAACCCTAAACTCTAAACCCTAGACCCGAAACCCTAACAGGTCCTGAGCCAGCCACTCTCCACTCCGCTCCGAGGTCCTTCTGTCAGCCTGCGCGGCGCAGGCATCGGCGGCGCGGCCAAAGAGGAACAAGCCGAGATGTCCGGACGGAAAGAACCTAACGGCTTTTCAGTCCAGACCAAAAGCCCTATAAAACTTAAACCTTATACCCTAAACCGCCGAAACCCTAGCTTATGTATTCCTATTCCCTAAATACCCTAAACCCCAAACCCTAAGCCCACCCTACCAAGATTCCGCTCCTTGGCCCGACTCCTTACGTCGAGTTTAAGTGGCCGGAGGGGGGGTGGGGTGTGGGGTTGGGGTTTAGGGTTTAGGGTTTAGGATTTAGGGTTTAGGGTTTAGGGTTTGGGGTTTAGAGTTTAGGGTTTAGAGTTCTGGGTTTAGGTTTTAGGTTTTGGGGTATAGGGTTTAGGGTTTAGGGCTCAGGGTTTAGGGCTCAGGGTTTAGGGCTCAGGGTTTACAGTTCAGGGTTTTTTCACCGGGAGCCTGAACTGGCTGGTAGGGAATGAGGTACACCATATAATCCGTTAAAGGGTATATATATATATGTATCTATAGTTTAGGGCCGTTTAGGGTAATTCCCTCATTCCCTGCTTGGTAGCCAGGGCTGAACCTGAGCCCGACGCCCATGCAGGAAGAAGCAAGAGCCCGTCATGCGCGCAGATCTGAGCCCACCGCGAGAGGTGACACGGGGTCTACTAGGGTTTAGAGTTTAGGGTTTAGCGTTTAGGGTTTGAGTTTAGGGTTTAGCCTTTAGGATTTAGGGTTTTGGATGTAGGGTTGAGGGTTGAGGGTTGAGGGTTGAGGGTTTAGGGTTGAGGGTTAGGGTTGAGGTTCATGGGCAGTTGGGGAACTTGGAGGTTCACGAGAAGTTGCAGCCGGGCTTCTTGGACGTACACTAGGTATTTGGGGGGGGTTGTCATAGTCTAAATTGTCTAGGGACCAGAAGGGAATACCATTAGTATTACTCCAACCCCTAAAGGGGGACTTTGCGAAGTATGCGACTCCTAAGATAGACCCCCAAATAGTAGAATTCCCTTATATTAAGCAGGCACCCCTAATTTCGCAGACCCCTAGCTTACGACAGGTGAGAAAAGGTATACAACGAAAATCCTAAGACTCACCATATAGCCTTCAACCCCAGACCCTACCTGTAGCAACCCATGGGTTTAGGGTTTAGCTTTTAGGGTTAGGGTTTAGGGTTTAGGGTTTATGTAGTACCTACTTGGTTCCTGAAAGCTACTCTATCGGAACCCCTTAAGGCCCAAGTAGATACTCTAAAGGCACATGGATCCTTAGGTCGTATAAGGGAACCCCTACCTTACATCCTATACCACTAAACCCTAAACCCTAAAGCCTAAACCCTATAAAATGGGCTATTCGGGAGTACAAGGGTGATTTCAGGCTTTGCTGTGTTTCGCAGAGCAGAGCTTTTGTGGAGAAGCCCATGTCTGCTCGAATGTTTGTTTAGGGTTTAGGGCTTAGGCTTAGGGTTTAGGGTTTAGGGTCTTAGGGTTTAGGGTTTAGGGTTTAGGGTTTAGGGCTTAGTTACTCCGAACTCTCAGGCTCAAAATCGCCCAACTACGCTGTTGATTTAGGGGTTAAGGGTCCAGTGTGATTAGCGTTCAGGCGGTGTAGGGGACACATTTGCGGAGCCCGTGGGCCATGTATCACCATTCAAGCACAAGCCCCTTGGCACAGGCAAGCTCTAGATTGATCTCTACTAGACTTTGGGAAGCGAGTTTAGGGGTTTGAGGGCTTCTAGGGCATTGTCCCAGACTGCCTTCCCGAGCTGATGCTCTGCATATGGCAAGCTTCCGGGAGCCAACTGGCGTCCATTCCTGTGGAGAACGTGACGGACGTGCTGAGCTTGAAGCGGCACCTCGGCAGCCTCTGCGGCGTGTCGCGATTTCGGCAGCGGCTCCTTCAGGATGGTGAGGTCCTTAAGGATGCTTTATCCCCCTTGGGAATTCATTTTTGTTTTGTTTTTTATAAAACCCAAGAGGGTATTAATAATATTATATTTATGAAGGTTCTAAGGGATATTATATTAAGGTTCTCTAAGGGGAGTCTAGGATGATGTTAGGATGATGTCCAGCTCGTTGCACCTGGAGACCTGCAGTTGGTACTGCTTCCCTTCTGCCACAGCAACTAGGACCAGGAGTAGGCCCTTGTTTCTTTTTTTTTGAAGGGTTGGGGTGCGCTAATAGGGCACCCTGTTTATTCCTGGCTCTCCTGGGGTCTAGGCAGCGACGGCCACAGAGACAGCGTGTGCAAGGCGATTGCACGCGGCAGCGTGAACGGTGTCGAAGCCCTTCTCCAGGCTCCTCACGACCCTGTAGCATTGTCAACGCGTATGTGGACTCCTTTGGTCATGGCCTGCCTGGCGCGATCACCACAGAAACCTGGGTTTGGAGTAGGAATTACCATACTTTATAACACTTGTTTGTTTGGACTGTTCCATAAAGGAACCCTTGTGAAAATATGAAAGTCTATACTTGTTTCTGCCTGGTTCCCTAAACCCTAAACCCTAAACCCTAAACCCTAAACCCTAAACCCTAAACCCTAAACCCTCAAAGGATCGTGCAGCTGCTCCTCGAGGCCAGGGCTGAGGTCGATCGGGAAGCACAAGGCCAGACACCCTTGCTCCTTGGAAAGCAGGGTGGTGCCCTCTACTTCCTTTTTGTTTGGGTTTAGGGTTTAGGGTTTAGGGTTTAGGGTTTAGGGTTTAGGGTTTAGGGTTTAGGGTTTAGGGTTTAGGGTTTAGGGTTTAGGGTTACTGGGCTACCAAGGTTCGTCGCAGCAGCGAAAGGCAGCGTGGCTTGTTCGCAGCTCCTCTTAGACTCCGGCGCCGACAAGGACCTTGCTTGCCAGCGTGGCAAGACGCCCGTGGCTGCAGCTACCGAAGCAGGCCATATGGGGGTCCTGCGCTTGCTGTTGGAGGCCAGTGCCAGCTGCGACCCCATCAGGAATATTGAGGGACTTCCAACAACTCCGCTTTACCTGGCTGTTGTGAAGGACAGGCCAGCCCTCGTGGACATGCTGTTGATTGCCAGGGCCGATGCAGATCGGGTTTGCGCGCGAGGAAATACACCCCTTCATGTGGCTTCTGAAAAAGGTTTGCTGGAAGCTGCGAGCTTGCTTCTGCAAGCCAGGGCGAGCACAGAGCCTTAGTAGCTGAGTAGGTAACCTTTAACCTTTTTTTGGGTATTCTGTATTCTCATCCCAATAAAACTCATCAGGTTAACCTTCATTTCCCTCAGGTTGCTGGACAACCAAGGATCGGGTCCGCGAAGCTGGGGAGACCGCCTTGCACTTGGCCGCAGCCCGCGGCCACGCGGGAGTGGTCCAGAAGCTGCTCGAATACAGGGCCGACAAGGACGCACAACTTCTTCTCTTTTTTTTTCAAAAAACGGGCATGCCTTTCTAAGGGCACCTTTCTAGGTGTGTATGTCTGTGCTCTTGTAAAATAAGTGATGTACCGGGCGTAGTGTTCGAGGCGAGTCTATACACCACTAAACTCTACACCCTATGACCCTATACTATGAACTATGAACTCCTATAGACCTATAAAGCCTATAAACGCTATGAACCCCTATAAACCCCCTAAAAACTCGACAAACCCTCAACCCTAATGAAACCCTAAACCCTAAACCCTAAACCCTAAACCCTCAACCCCAAAACTGGGCCAGGACATGGTCTGTGCATCCAAAGGTGCTACAGCCATGGAGCTGGCGTCTGCTCGTGGCCACCACGAAGTTCCTTGGGGGACTCAAATTCAATGAGCCTTTTCAAAGGGGGGGGTTTAGGGTTGAGGGTTGAGGGTTTAGGGTTTAGGGTTTAGGATTTGGAATGCCCCCCCTCCCCCCCCGACCCACGCCCCACCAAAAAAAAAACACACAAAAAACAATGGTAATCGCCCCGAAAGAAGGGAGATGTCCCTGCACCATGGGCACACCTCCTTGTTTAAGAGCACCTACGTTACTCTGGGTAATTTTTGTTGGGATCACGAATGCCCTGTTTGCTATTACACTCCTTGTTTCAGTTTGCAGATGTGCTCACTTCTGCACCAAAAGCTTCGCAGGGTTCCGTTCTTCCCCAAGGTTCTGCAGCTACTACTGGGGAGGACTCTGGCGCCCATGCCATTCGAGGCTTCTGCCGGCTCCGCTGCGGAGCCCCCAGCATCGCGCAAGCGGGGCCCAAGTGTATTCCGTAAGCCGGCAGCAAAGGCCAGGCACGCGCCTGCCTGATTGAGGCGTATCATAAGTTTTGGGAGGTTTAGGGTTAGGGTTTAGGGCTTAGGCAGAGGTGTAGCCATAGAGTTTGGGCTTAGGCGCTTGAGGAGTGTAGGGTTTGGGGTCTGTAGGGCTTTGGCGTCAGCTAGCTGTCGAGAATCGTTCAACTTCTTTGAACGACACCCCACAGAGCAATTGGCTGAACACTGCGCTCGAGTTCTTCTGCGCGAACGGAGCAGTTGAGCCTCGGAAAAGGGCGTGCTTCACCTTGTAGGATCAACAGAACAATCCCAGAAGACCTTATACACTATGGTCTTGTGGCCCCAGAATATTACAAAGCACATGTCCACGGAGCTTTGTCAATTGCAGGGCATAGGTTTTTTCAACGTTGCCGAACCTATCGGATAGTTGGCGCCAGAGTGCCTGCAGCTTGCATAAGGCAGAAGCTATTCCTTGAAACGCCCCCCCTTACTGGACCCTTTTCAAAACCCCATACACCCCCAACCTCAACCCCAACAGACAATCAGCACCTTCGAATAAGGGTCGAAGTGTACCAGAAGGCGGTCAATCACTCAGGGGATCATAAAGGGCACCTTAATTCTGCGGTTTGTCTACTTCAGGCCGTGGCTGGCCCTATGGAAGTAAACGATAAGCAGTGGGTCACGATTTTAGGGCCTGGTAGTGAATGTTCGTGTTCAGGCGTTCCTCAACCCTAAACCATCAACCCTCCACTCCTTCCTTTAAAACTTTTGCCTTTCTAGACCCACCCTCGGACACGCCAAAGTTTCCGATCTCAATCTCAGCCTTTCTCCTACGGCTTACTCCCTAAAACGCTTCTTTCAGTCTTCGGACGATAGCAGGGGGGCCGAGAACGATCTCTTACAAACTGAATCCGGAACCATAAGCCCATGCTCCTACACTCTGGAAGCCTCAAATCCTAAACGCCCCAATTCGGGTTCAGGGTCTATAGGGCCGTGTGGGAAAGGCCCCCTCCCAACCAAACAAGTAAAAGTTTTGGGCATTGGGCTCAATGGACCCTAAGCAAAAACCACCCCCCCTTCCCCCCTTCTCTCCCCCCCCCCCCCCCCCCCCCCCCCCCCCCCCCCCCCCCCCCCCCCCCCCACAAAAAAAGAGAGACAAAATCATAACAATTCATAACAAATAGCATAGACAAACAACTAATTCAATAACAATAAAAGGTAAGCTTAGAAAAAACCACTCTAACAAACAGTCTCTATTTTTGGGCTTCTGTTCTGGGCGCCCACCGTCACGACAAGACTGACAGGTTCCGGCGCACATTCCCCGGCCTCCATACCTTGGGCCGGGCCAACCGCGTCGGGGTTCCCATGGGTCTATGGGTTTCGGTTTTAGGGTTTAGGGTTTAGGGTTTAGGGTTTAGGGTTTAGGGTTTAGGATTTAGGGTTTAGGGTTTTTTGGGTACACCCTAACCCTGAACCCTAGACGGCTTTGGGATATGGGCATTCCCCCAAAATCGTGGTACCCTCATACATGCCCCTCCCAGAAAATACTTCTGATTTGATAGGAACCCCCAAGGGTACCGCCATTTTTTGGGGCACTACTGTGTTATAGGCTGCTTTGTTGGGATTCTTGAGCCTTGTCAACTAGGGTTTAGAGTTCAGGGTACAGGGTTTGGGCAGCATCCTGGGCCAGTTGAATTAAAGTTTCTTTCTCGGCTGAAGACGTTTCAATGTGGTGTGGAGGTACAGGGTTTAGGGTTTAGGGTTTGGGGTTCAGGGTTTGGGGTTTGGGGTTTAGGGTTTATCGAGTCCAGGACGGTTCAGTCAGGTATCGAGGCCCGGCATTTTGAAGTATCAGTGCTTGTCAGACAGCCCGCGTAAGCCTTTGGCCCGACAAAAATGCGAATCCCCAACCCCCAAAACCTACCTCTAACATAGTAGTCGTAAATAGCATATATGTATATACATAAATGTATATATATATATATATAGATATATCTGTCATCTCTATTTGATGCGTTTCCTCCCTCCTAACTCTACAGCCTAAACCACCCTAAACCCTAAACTCTAAACCCCGCTGCCCCAAGGAAATCCGCAAGATGGTTTTCCTCGGCACGAGCACCGCGCTTGGTGAGGTCTTGGGTTCAGGGCTTTAGGCTTTAGGCTTTGGTGGTTTCTGGGCAGGTTCAGGGTTAAGGGTCTATAGGGTTTTAGGGTTTAGGGGTGTAGGACTTTCACTACATTCGTTTGCCATGCTCAAAAAAGTCGACATGCGACAGCTGAGCTGCCGACGTCCTCTGTCAAAGGCTTGTTTGTGCCACTTTTGGGTTTTGTGGTTTACCTCCGTGCAGAGGAAGCGCAGCTTAACCATTGGTAAAGTCCCAAACCTGAACTCTGAACCGTCAGTAGTGCTTGCATTGTTCTGGAGTGAAGGGTTTGGGGTTAGAGCACTTGGCTGCTAACTTGTAGCATTCAAATCTGCATTTTAGGGTTTGCGGTTTCATGCGACTTCTCAGTATGATTATACGTGCTGCTAGCCGCAGAGGTTACATCAGAACTCGCTTCGTCAGTGATGTTGGGATCTGCCAGGGAGCTTGAGAAGGTTTAGGGTTTAGGGTTTAGGGCTTCGGGTTTAGGGTTTAGGGTTTAGGGATTAGCACTACGTGCTGACAGAGACCCGTTGGAGAACTGAGAACGGACAAAATCCCAGGAAAGCAAGTCGTATGAATTGCGTTGCCACGTTGCTGCTTCAGCTTGTACTGTTTCCGGCATCACTCAGGCTTGTTTGGAGGCTGACGCATGATGACAGCTTGGAGTCACATACAGCTTCACAGCCTGTGATGGGTTAGGGTTGCCTGATGACGAACTACCTCCGAATCGGTTGATTTTTTCGCGTATCCTGCTTTCCGATTTAGCTTTGTCAGCGTGCTTGGGTTTTTGCTGGGCAGCATGTACTTTTGGGAGCTTTCCGTTGCAGGATGAGTCCGAGGAGGTCACACGGCGACCACCTTGTGACAGTGGGTAAGGCTGCATGGTGACGGATACCAGTTGGAGAACTGAGAACGGAGGATTTCCCTCGTTGTTGCATTTTGTGTTTTCAAGCTGGTGAACTCATTCCTGCATGTTTGGAGGCTGACGCATGATGACAGCTTGGAGTCACATACAGCTTCACAGCCTGTGATGGGTCACGGTTGCTTGATGACGAACTACCAGTTGGAGAAACTGAGAGGCAGCCTGTTCTCCTTTGAACCATTTGATTTATTCGCGACCTTGTTGTCCCGATTTAGCTTTGTCAGCGTGCTTGGGTTTTCGCTGGGCAGCATGTACTTTTGGGAGCTTTCCGTTGCAGGATGAGTCCGAGGAGGTCACACGGCCACCACCTTGTGACAGTGGGTAAGGCTGCATGGTGACGGATACCAGTTGGAGAACTGAGAACGGAGGATTTCCCTCGTTGTTGCATTTTGTGTTTTCAAGCTGGTGAACTCATTCCTGCGTGTTTGGAGGCTGACGCATGATGACAGCTTGGAGTCACATACAGCTTCACAGCCTGTGATGGGTCACGGTTGCTTGATGACGAACTACCAGTTGGAGAAACTGAGAGGCAGCCTGTTCTCCTTCAAATCAGTTGATTTATTTACTACCTTGTTTTCCCGGTTTAGCTTTGTCAGCGTGCTTGGGTTTTTGCTGGGCAGCATGTACTTTTGGGAGCTTTCCGTTGCAGGATGAGTCCGAGGAGGTCACACGGCCACCACCTTGTGACAGTGGGTAAGGCTGCATGGTGACGGATACCAGTTGGAGAACTGAGAACGGAGGATTTCCCTCGTTGTTGCATTTTGTGTTTTCCAGCTGGTGAACTCATTCCTGCGTGTTTGGAGGCTGACGCATGATGACAGCTTGGAGTCACATACAGCTTCACAGCCTGTGATGGGTCACGGTTGCTTGATGACGAACTACCAGTTGGAGAAACTGAGAGGCAGCCTGTTCTCCTTCAAATCAGTTGATTTATTCACTACCTTGTTTTCCCGGTTTAGCTTTGTCAGCGTGCTTGGGATTTTTTTGCTGGGCAGCACGTTCTTTTGGGAGCTTTCCGTTGCAGGATGAGTCCGAGGAGGTCACACGGCCACCACCTTGTGACAGTGGGTAAGGCTGCATGGTGACGGATACCAGTTGGAGAACTGAGAACGGAGCGCTCGTACGGGCACGGTAGTTTGTTCTTCCATTGTGATATCGCCACATGTGTTCATGCGCATGAGAGCTCTGTGTGAAGATCTATCCCACCAGTTTTTCAGGACCTCGATTGTTACTCACGAACCTCCATGTGGAGAAGCTACATTCCACCAGACCTCCGTGTGTTCGGGAGCCGTTTCAGAGTTTCGGGGAATCACCTCACGCATGCTAGGCTGACGTCGGCGATTGTTCAAAGCCATAAGTCTGAACCGGAACTAAACCCCAACCGCTAAACCCTGAACCTCATAACCCCCTTCAACAAAAGCAATTGTTAGAAACCCACGGCTCCGTCTGCCAATATGTGAGCAGGCTCGACTATAAATGGGCATGCTTGTACCTCGTGCGCGGAAGCTGCGCAAGTACATGCTGGGTCAGATGTCGCGGAAGGCTAGGCGGCGTAGTGACCACAGTCGGCTTTCTCATTCAGTTGGAAATTTAGGGTTTCGGGGGTTGGGTCTTGGGCGGGGATGATGAGGGTTTGTTGTCCTACAGGTTTGCAAGGCCCTAAGCCCGAAACCCAGGATTACGTTTTTAGCTATCTTTCCTCAGGGTATGACGACATCTAAGCCTTCGAAAAGGAGATCCACTTTATTCTCTGGTTCGATTTCCCTTTTCCACGTAATATGGTGTATAGGTTACTCTTGATTTTCTACCCTAAACCCTAAATCTAAGTCCTGATTCCTAAACCCCAAACCCCCTAAGCCATGAACCTTCCGGCAAGGTACTACTTAGGTCTGGACAACACACCCGAAGAGCGGCTGATCCTCGAGGTGAAGACCCCCGAGCAGATTGAGGCGGTTGAGGGGATGC